AATCGCAAAGTATAATATATTATTCTGATGAAATATAAGATGCTGACAAAAAGTCATTGTTTTTGTGAACAAACACAACAGGAGTATTATATCAAATCATTTATATTCTCTATATTTTTAGGTGAAAGAATGGAGGAGGGTTCAGAGATGGCAGATACAGATGGTGATGTGAACATGGATGCAAACTTCTTCATTAATGAGCGTCTCTCTCCTCGAAATGGTAAATGATCTGCAACTGGTTTATAATAAATTGTGTTTAAATTACTGAATTAAACTTCAAAGCTTGTGTTTAAATTATTGAATTAAACTTCAAAACCTACGAAAATAGAATTACTATTTTAGAAGATGGAGAGCGTTTTAATGAAGAGTCGACGAAAATAACATCGGCATGTCCTGGTTCGATTTCATTATCTTCAAATGAAGATTCGGTTTGTTCTGCCAATTGATTTCCCTACGAGTAGATTAAATCCGTTTTCGTTGAGTGGAGCGAAGATAGTATTCGAAAACAAGCTTGCATGTTATTTAACTCAGTTGTTTGAGTCTTTTCGCAACGATTTTGAGAAGACGAAGACGAGTGGCCAGGTCTGTTCTGAGATCAGAAACTGATTTGAAGACTCTTGGAATAACCTGTATTCTCGGTAGCACGGACTGTAGCGTGTAAAGCTTTTTAAATTTAAATGTTTATTTCAGAATGAATCAACAGAATTGGCGAATATAGGTCTCGGTCAGTTCGCGCGTCCAGCTCTTCCTCCAACTCGTTCACCAGTTGCCAAAAGAGACTGATTATCAGAGAAAAGTTCATTATGTGACAATTATTTTTCCTTTTTTATGCATGAACTGATTCACTCACCTGCAAATATATTTAATTATTAGTGAATATTTTTTTGCTGCTCAAAAATTCTTTAACTTCAAAAAAATGGAATATACTTGTTCCTATTACTTTTCTTGTATTTCGAAAATTATAAATTTAGATCATTTCATTCGTTTTGGACTTTGCCTGGCTGTTTTAAACTGTGAGTTAATGTCTTTCATTTTAAATCTGCTGCATATTACTGTGGAGATTTTTGGACGTTTTCTCTTGTAGATTTTTTTCAATCATTTCAAGCTTTATTTTATTGTCTAACACACCATATTTCTAGAATCCGAAAGCCATCCTTTTACCCTTAACTTGGATGTACTTGCAAAAAAAAGATAGTAAAACCGCATAACATCACTTGGCTCCTAAAATTTTTCACTCCCTACTTTTTTCCCTTTACTGACAAATGGGTATTGTCATGCAACATTGAGGTTTATTAATACTACATGTATCTTAGCGACTTTGGGTGGTTCCATTTCTCAGGATTACTTCGACCTTTATTTGATTGTATGATTTGCTTTATTATATTATTTTCGATGAAATTTAGAAGAATCTATAAGGCATAAAAAATTATTTGACTGAGTTATTTAATCGGGCAATGCTTTATATAACAACTTTCATTGAGAGGCGAAATCAGATATGTATGTTTACATGTAAATTATTTTTCGTCGTATAATTATAATATCATTTCTTGTGGGAAAAGCGTTTGCCACTGTCGGCATTATCATTTATTTTTGTATCCTTCTGTTCTCTGTATAACTCCGTCATTTTCACATAATGTTCATATTGTAAACGTCTGGTCCTCGCTACTCGTTCTCATTTCTGCTCAATTTTGTGCGAGCAAACCGGTTCTCTCTATGTGGGAGGATAAGCCAGTCTGCTTTCACGCTTTCTCCTTTCTGTGTATTTTTTTTTGTACTTTACAAAAGCGATATTTTATTCGCACAAGTACAGGTGAATTTCGCTTTCTATTTCTTTGCTACAGATACAGATTTTTATATATATATAAATAAATAAGTTTACATTATATAAAAGCGTGTGTGAGTTTGTATAGGTAATTTGTTCAGTAAATGTAGTTTTTTATTTCTTAAACCCATATCGATGGACTCGGTGGACGAGAAAGAACGGCTCATCTGGGATTCGTTGAAATGTATGAATTCTAAATGAAACTTCATTACAATTCAACAAATATATATACAGATATGTCAGCAAAGCAATGGTGGATTGCTATGTTTGTTGAAACGACTGGAATGTTGGATTAGGTTTTAGCCCAACATTCCAGTTCATTTAACATTCCCTTTAATCTGATTGCTTGAAGTTTTCGTTTTCTTATAACGAATTACGTATTTCGTTAGGTTTCTTTCGCAGCGTTTACTGCACTGATGAGGCGATATCGGATGCTCGAAATTATATACAAAGAGATAAACAGGCTGCAAGTGGCCTATTACCTCCTTCGATAAATGAAATTCAAAGCCCTTTTTTCAGGATGGATAACTTTTCAGTACGCTTTCTTTGGTCCGTGCGGTGTTGGTTTCTAAAGATTCCTCCATTACGGAAGCGTAACTTCATTTCCAAAGTTCAAGATCAGTTGTAAGAACTGCCATATTACACAAATATCAAGCACCAATTTGTATTTAGCTGCATCAAATATTAATGAATTCTATGATAAACTGCTGTATCGCCGTCAAATTTCCATTTGAAATAATCCATTATCAATGCGAAAAGGATACTGAGCACTGCTTTAGATTGTTCATTACGATTTCTGAGTTCTTATCATAGTGATTCAGGAAAAGAATCAGGGTTCTCAGGTGATTGATTCGAGCATATCACATAATCATGGCATGATTTCTCACACCGCTTAAGAGATTAGAGCTAATTTCGTTCTTTAGTTTGCGTTTAAGTTTCTAACGCATTCAAGTCACCTGCTCTCTTTATGTTGAGCTTCTGAAACCATTTATTCAAGTAATGAAGCCAATAGTGAAATGGCTATGTTGGTTTTGGCTAAAAGCATTGCGGATGAAATGCATACATGTATCATTACAATATAAGTATTTTCCCTTGTTGGGAAATGCCTGAGGACATGCAAGTCAAGGCTAGCGCTTGTGCTCCATATACTTCAAGCTATTCCTCACGTTTGCTTTCATAGGTGGAGGATGAATGTTAGACCATTAAACTTCATGTTTTTTTGTTTCCTTTTATTTACATTGCTTCTTCAAATATTCCGTTGCTGAATTAATCTCTGGTGTTTATTTACTGTTTACTTTTCAGTGCTTGCAAGACATCAAGGAAACGTAGTCAGCAAATTCAGTACATTTGGGCTTTACGAGACAGAGACAGGACACATTGAAGTTGCTTGAGAACGCATCTCAAACATCAAAATTATCCTGAATATATGTTATCTGTTCATGAGTATTCATTATCGACATCTTCAATTTGTCTGCCTAGTGAATGGTTGCACCGCAAATTATCCTAAAAAACATGGTTTCTAGAATTTACTTTCAAAAAATGATTGTCGTGGGTGAATATACATTGAGAAATCCATTTATTTCGTTAGATCAGGAAGAGAATTTTATAATTTTATGACATTTTCTGTCTCATAGATTTTAGGGAAATACTACGAGCTCATTAACCTAGTTCATGCTATAACCTAACATTCTCGAACTTGCATTTCTCCGTATTATGTATACCAATACAATTCCTTAGTTCATAGAAATTTCGGTTAAAATGGCCTACATAATTCAAAAAAGCTTGCCATGACTGGGGTGAAAATGAGTCACAAAACCATACAAACTCAAACGTCGTGTAACATCTAGTAAGGTAAAATGTTTTTAAGTAAATGTAACTGGAAATAATTTTGAACTTCTTAATTTTATAAGAATCACTACCATATCTTCCTGAGACATATAAAGATTTGTTAAAACTGTCAAATAATTTCTTACACTTTTTTAAAAAAATCCGCAATCAGTCACGGTAATAGCCATCAAAATAATTAGCTTCAATCACTTCCTTTCCTCCTCAGCAAGCGAGAGACAGTATGTCGATGATTTGGTCTGGGAATGAAGCTCCAATTTCAAAATCCGATGAACGACTACTACCAAGAATCTAGTAAAACCCGGCCCCCTAAATATTCTATATAATTAGGGCTTTATCAGTAACTGCTAATTCTTGCAGTCATTTCTTTTCAAATAACTGAACAGTTAGTAATGACCTACAAAGACAAGAAATGATAAGAATGATTTCAATATCTTAGAACCAAAAGCGGTTATCAGGAACACATTTACAAAATACGCAAAAACATCACATTCGTTGGGAAGCTTTCTTTTACCCTCATTAATACGCCCCTTTCTAGATTTATAGCTTAAAACGCATATCTCAAGAGTACCTCTGCATTCGTAATGAAAATTTTCTGCTCATTTCGGCAGTGAAATAACATCAAAATTTTAGCACTTATTGTCACATTGCACTAAATTTAAGAGAATGAACAGCAACTAAGAATTTAAAAAAGACGCTTAATAATATTCTTGTGAAGTTTTTTGACAACCACTCTCATCGATATTCAAAGTAGCGAATCCTAGTACATTATTCAGCGATTCAGAATGCTCAAATAACAATCTGACTGTCAAATTATTATTACAGTACTGTGAAAGCAGGAACAACATGTCTTTTGGGAAAGATCTTAAGCTCTTCCAGCGATCGATCTATGAATTGTCGTTCAACCAAAACTTTTTAGAACAAAAGCTAAACATGTCTACATAATCTGAAACTGCCATTATTAGTCAAGTCAAGAAAGATAATTTATGGATTGATTTCAACTACAGTAATGAAGTAAATTGATAGTGTAGAAATTAAGCTCAAGTATATGGTGCTTAAATGAATACAATGCATCAGTTACACACAATTAGGCATAGCACAAAAAATATGAACAACTGATCAGGAACTTCTAAATTTGCTAGATTTCTTGTCAAAAAAGTCATTAAAAGGGAAATATAATATATCTCTGTAACACGCTACATGTAACAAAGACTTCAATCGAGAGGATTAAAATTCTCGAAATACCCATATCTATTAAAACGTAGCTAGTAAAAGTAGACACAGTTTGATATTAAAAAATAAATTAAAGCATTACATATAAAAACGGATCGCATCACTTGTTTTTCTCATTAAGGGACATTATATTTGGATCAAAGAAACTAGCCAGATCAAGGAAATACCATAATTCAGGAGGGATTTCGAGTGGTGTCTTCATACCGTCGTATTTAGCTTTAACAGTCAGCGTATCCCAATGCATATTTTTTTCGTTCTTCAACGATGGAACAACCTCTTCCTGAAAATTTGAATGTGCAATTCCATTTTAAGGGTATTGCTTAAAACAAAGGACCGTACTGCCCTGTTGAAAATGATGTACCGGACTTTAATCCGACTTTCAATTAGCCTCGATTTCGTTTCTATTTATAAACAACAAATTTTCTTACCATATTTTCTTCCAGAAATTCCTTTGTTTCTTGTGACAAATAAAAGACGCAAAGGTTGGTACGTATAATACGCATGAAAATTTCTGGAAGATAATGTACCCTGCTATAAAGTGATATTGGAATATCTAGCTTCCCGAATACCAGCTGCTTCACCAAACGGTGATCCGTGGGTGCGAGCATACACTCCGGTGGTACATCACTACTCCTATAACTGGGAATGAATTAAATTTTCGATATTTATTATACAATAAAAAAAACGATCATCCACAACCACGCTTTAACAAACAACTGTCGAAATTTTCATTTTATTTCTTTGCTTCGCTGCCCGACAAACTCTATGTTAAAGAAAAAATGCATACTTTTTGAAAACAAAAGCACCCCTACGATTGCGAAGAAATCGATAATCCTTCCAGTAATCCGCTTCAAATTCGTTTCGCTCATTTGAATTGATACCAAATATACCCCTTAAAATAATTCCTCTTCACATGCGCTAAGCATACATATTGATACATCGATTCAAAAAATCAATTTGAAAAGAAACTTACGTGACAGTGAATGGTGCTTGTGGACGTTTCAGGCCCGCACTTTCACATTTCTTAATTAACAGTTCTTCATCAGATCCTTTTCCCGAATCAAACATTGTCTCTTCGTTGCCTGATCCAATTTCAGTACAGTATTCATCTTTTGCAACTTTCCCGCCAATAATCAATTCTAAAGTGAAACTAAATTTTCTTGCAAGTATTTCGCTAGATCCGTCTAAAGCACAGTTAGAACCGAAAGAGATTCCAAAAAAAATTGACCCACTTTAATTACAAAATCATTGTTCAGCACTTTTTTGTTTATTATTAATAAGTAGATAAACAATATTATACAAGCTTCAAATGATTCATACATACTACGGCTTCTTCTTTCAGCCCCTCTCTTATCTCTAAGAAAGTTATCAACACACTGTTCACTGATTATTTATTTGGGCAAATAAACACAAAAACTTGGAAAATGAGACGAACAAACCGTCATCTACAAATTCTGGAATTTGTTTAAGGAGCTTAATTATTTCGCTATCAAGTTGTGTATCAGACATATCTACTGAAAGGTCCAACGCATCTTGTTTTTCTAGCCAGGGAATAAGTACCGATTCTTTCTGTTCGTCCTATAAATGAGATGACTCTACATTAATGATAACATAACATAGTCGCCGCTAATATTAATAAATTAATGAAAAAAAAAAGAAGCTCGCTCTCTATTTTAAGCAATGTAAACGTTGCTTTCAAATGCATAAAACTTAATGTAACTTCCTTGTAAATAAATTGATTAATTCTTTCAACATACTAAACTTCGAGGAAAAAATTTAGCAATTAATAACAAACATATCAAATTCATCAAAAAAATCACCGTTTTCAGATCATATGGTTTGTAGTAGCGCTTTTTTACGACGTATTTAACATCCAGTAATGAATCGATTTCTGGAGTCTCAAATAAAAAGCTACATTATTATTTAATCTCGTAGAAAAATCAAAGTTGAAACATGATTTCTCAGAAAGTAGCCAGAGAATTCAGGAAAATTCTAAATTTTTAGAAAACTAATTGCACACAAATAAATACCTTGAAAGCTTCGCTGATGAAATCACTGTAATCACCATCATGCTGTTCATTCCCTTTCACTTGCATTTTCACTGATTTCCGTGTTCTCGTCTCGCTCAATATAGTGGGTGCAGGAATACTACTCAGTCGTCCACTAGATGAGCGACTGTTCGCATGCGAATTTGAAGGTATTTGGGGATTTGGAGTCACGTGTTCCTCTCGACGGATCAAACCCTGAAAATACGTTTTTTTCACGACTTTACGACAACATCAATTAACCTCCCGCTTAACAATAATGCATTTATACACGAATCACTCCTAAAGTAACACCTGTAGCTGCCTAATATTCAAACCAGACGCTTCACTGAAAGCAGCAACTTCGCGTGCAACCGCATCGGCCACAGAATCAGAGCCCAGAAAAAGGGTATTGCCAAGTGCACTCAGAAGAACCTGCATAGGATATGTATAGATGCCAAATAAACATGAACGAAAATAATTCTTTAGATTACATATAAAAAATTAGAATTCTTTACGATTACATACAACATATATGCAATAATTTCTTCAATTTTCTAAATATCTAACCTGACCATTGTGCGAACCCATTCCTGGTGGAGGAATAATGTTTCCATTCTAAAAATGTAGAAATTATAACGACTAAAAGTGAGATAAATGGTGGAAGAATTAGGGTTTTCCTGGACATGCAGCACAACACGTGGCGCCTCTCAGTAATGCGTCTTTACACCCGATACAGCGTATAATACGCTTCTCGAAAGATTACGTCACTTTGTCAAACAGTTTCCTTCCAATCGTCGGTTCATACACTCGAATATTGCCTACTCTCTACCAACATGTGGTAACATTATTTTGGCTTGTTTAAATCTACGATACGCGTCATGCTTTTTTTTCTTAGCTAATTTTCGCATTTCCATTTGCAAAGCAAATTTAAGGTCTTTGCGGAAGAAATTAAAATATGTTGAATATGAATGACAACAAAAAATTGTTGAAATTGAGTAGTGAGAATTACATAGGCAATAGTGCGGGCCATCACGAGAAATGATCGGTAATGCTTTCGTGAAAATCCTAGTTTGAAGCTAATGTGAAAAGCACCATTAAGAGCTTTAGAAATGAAACACAAAAAACTAACCAAATAAACAGGACTGTTGGTTTGTGTGATAACGTCATGAGCAACAGGTAGTCGACTGCTGTGAATATTACGTGAGTCCAGTCTCCGTAAGGCATCTATTGCACGGTTTAAAGCAACTTCACCACGTGAAACCATCGATCGATCGGGTGTTATGAGCGAAGTATCCATCGTCTCAAAAATATTAAGAGTTTATTAACTTAGGACAATATTTCCAAAAAAGTGAGAAAGAAACTAAACTAAGTTATATAAAAATACAAAAAGACTTCGAATGTCCAATCGATTCAAAACGAGTTGTGCTTTTGTATTCATTTTACACGAAAAAATAATACTCAGGAAAGAAACCAGATGAAGCGAATTAATATACCTCATGTGTAACATCAACATTTGCTCGATTCACACGTGTCGCTGATTCCGTACGTAGATATTCACTAAACCGCGAAGACCACCAATCACTGCATTCACTTGCCACGTCATAAGATTGCTGCTTTGCTTTGATATTTTGGTTGCGCTGTCTGTAAGTGCATCGTAAAGACCGACCAATCCTCATAACTAAATTAGGCGGTGGAATTTCATCATCGGTCTGGCAATCGTCATCATCAAAACTCAATACATCTGATTGCTTCGTTTCATCGTCGTTTGTTGGTCTGACCCTTTCAATTTTTAACACCGGTAAACATGATGGTTTAGCCAGTGCTGTAAACAAAGTGCAGTACTTAAGCGACTTTTTGGATTCAGTGTTGTTGCTTCGTTCCATTTGTCTTTCCAGCTCTTCAATACTTTCCACTAAAGCTTCTTGAGAGCTATTCTGTGTAGCATACTCACCACAGCTTACATCTACCACAGCATACGCATCAGTACTAAAAGCTGCTGCATCTACTGCATCAGAATTTGATAAACTTGATGCATCAGCGTTATAGTTCCTAGTAGAACATGCAGCGACTCTAGCCGGAGTGGCTTCAGTTGCATTTGGAACTTCGATACTTTCCAGCCTTCTAAAACCTGGAGGAGCAGCAAATAATGCTTCATTTCTCGATTGATCTCGTTCACGCACCGGGAAACGCCTAGCATAACCCACTGTTCGACTACTATTTTCACCAGAGATTCTTTGATTACGTTGCACACCATGATCTGGAAAAAATATATGCTGGCTTGACAAAATAGACAGTTATAAGAGCTACCACTGTTAGACGTATATTATTCAAGATGAAAAAAAGAAATTGAAAGAACAGTACACTTTCAAATATGTATATGCTCACTTGGAACGGTTGGACGTGAGTACGCAGTAATAGGATATTGGAAGGTCCGAATCGGTGAACTGCTATCACTAAGTTCTGAGTGAGGTTCATATGGTGATGGTGAAGTTTCTACAATGGAATTAGCGGGCAAAGAGTTGTTTCCAGCGTGTCCGAGACCAGTAGAATCCCTCGATAAACGAGCTGATTGCTAAATCAGAATCTTCAAATTTCTTAATTCGTAGATTTTAGAATTTAAAAAGCAAAAAACTACACGAGATTTTAGCAACTAAACCTACAAATGAAAATTTACCAAAGATCTTGAAGCAGAGATACGAACGGAGGAAAAGCTGGCAGACTGCATACTTGAACGACTGGAGAAGCCCGACGATAAACCTGCAGGAGGTTGTGCAGTCGAGTGGCCAGATGAAAATCCTGTAGATGGTTGGCCACTTACACGCCTCGGCGAAAAACTTCCTGCTGTTTGTATAGAATCAGTAGTTTCTCGGGCTGAAAAGAGTAATCAGCAACTGACTCAAAAAAGTCAAGAGTGATGGATCAAATTAATTTCAGAAGATGAACTTGTGTGCGCTAAGAGAAGACAAAGTTAACTGTGTAGTAAACAAACATGAACTGCAATCTTAAAAACTGACAGCTCGCTATAACTAAATGTATCTAAACTATGACAGGTGATACAGCATTTGAATACTCTCATTATAAAAGATATTAGTTCAATATCGATAGAAAGCTTAATACCCTAGAATATACCATTTTTCTTTGCTATTTAGAACGAACATACACTGATTTATCTCTGCTGTACTGCTATCAATGGGCCTACGACGAATGCGTGAAACCGTCTCAATTCTTAGCGGCCCATCTTGTTGGCTGCTAGTATTACGGCGAGTCCCATCTGTGGCCGATTCTTCGACATCGGAATCATTGCTGACCAAAGGCACGTTATGTACAATTACACGCCTCAGATCGCGATCGCGCAGAAATTCAGATAATACATTTGCAGTATCAGCTATTCCATTATTGCTATAGAAACAAATTTGGAGCAAAATGCATGTTAACAAAGAAATGAAAATGTGAATCATTCGCTACATAAATGAATGTAATTTGCAAAATAAAGAGTAACGCAAACAATTTCATTACTACCTATTATTAGAGACATTCACATACTGTGCCTGCATATGGTGTTCCTGCATATGTGATACCATATCGGTAAGATGATTAGGCATATAATCACCAAAACCAATGCGATAAAAATCGGTAGAAATACAAATTGGACATGCCTAAAAAAATGTAGACTAGAAGTGAAGAGAAAATGTATCCTGTATGAATAACTGAAAAGAAGTTGTACTGCGAATAACTAGGAAGTCGATGTCAGTCAAACTCGAAGTGACAGTAATAAGAAACTCGTAAAAGATTGAAGAGTCATAAAAAAAACCATTTCGCTCCGTTGTGAAGGAGATCGTGATGAAGTCGAATGTTCATCGATGACATGTGAAACCAGTCGTTCACGTGAAAAACCATTAACACCGCAAACTGGACAAGTAAAAATTACAACTCGTAAACGATCCCAGCTGTGTGTTTGGTCGCCGTGGTATGCCAATTCTTAAAATATAATTTAAGGCATGCTTCAAGAAATATCAAGTTAAAAAATAAAAGTTTACAACGTAAACATGAATAAATATTATTGAAGCGTGAACATGATCAAGTATTATGTTGATTTCAGAAACCACTGTTTGAAGGATTATTCAAGATAACTGAGATAGAATATATTCGTATTTTAACTTCTGTCAACTACCGTCTGAAGGAAAATGAAGCAAATCAAGATTTTAATTCCAAACTCTGATATAATGCCGCTCTAAAGCAATGAAAAAAGTTGTTTTCTTTGCACAATAACAATAGGCTGAACAAACAGAAGCGCTATCACAAAACTAATAGGGACCTATAAAATGAAAAAGTATTGAAATCTTATCAATGTAGAAGCTCGATTGTACCGACCTCTCCACACTCCACAACCCGCCATTTTATAGAAATTGAAGGCACCTATGTAATACTTTCAACTTCTACGAATGATCATAAATTCTTTGTTACAAATAACAATTCTTTTCTCAAATTATACAAAAATACCGAAGTCCTGTTGTGTCATAATACATTGCATTGGATGAGATGGAGAATGCTCTTCGTTGGTTTCACGAAAAGGACGATTTTCGGATGATACTTCCGTTGTTCTCTCTTCCATGTAGCACCGAGAACATAAATCAAAATCATAACATCGAAGACATTTGTAACGATCTCCGGCAAAATTTGGTGCCATACAACCGTCACAAGAAACACCTGAAACAAGTATTTATACTTGAAATGGTCACTCTTGATGGATTAACAGGCTTTTCTGCTGATGTTGGTCCTTAATACAATCGAAAGAATTCTTACATAAGTCTTCAACCAGCTGTTAATAGAACTTCCAAACGAAGTCACATCAAAGTTACAGATTTCTTTTTTATGTGCATGAGTTATGTGCATTCGCTTTGCATTTCACTCATTTTTAGTTCAAGAAAGTGCTAACTTTGCTGATTTATTTACCAATGGTGATACGTAATACATAATACAGAATTACCACCTTAGTTGCATTTTGGTAGCTATTTGCAAGTTCATAAACCCTAAAAATAAATATAGAAATACAAACCTTCATGTACAGAACTCATCCGGTTATACGGACGTCTAATGTCGCCAACAGGAACAAACGTATAATGATAACATAATGAGAATTGAGTCTCCACCCCTCGGCGCTTAAGTCGTTTCGAAGAGCGACGGTTTCGTGCGGAGGACATCACAGCTGAATTGCAATAAAGTTCTCCTGAAATATGCAGAGAAATATTTTAAATTAAAACGTTGGAAATATCACACGCCTACATCACTTACATCAATTGTGACGTTCACTTCCACACTTCCAATTATTGACCTACACACACAAACAAGACTTCAAATCTTATTCAAAAAATATGCAAATTAAGAAATGTCAGTTGTACACGGTCTATGAACAACTGTGATACCAAGTTGACATGGTCATTAAGTCAATAATATTTCCCAAAGCATCTGATAGGTGGAACCGAACAACCAACATTACCAAGCTTGCTTTTTATCACCATTATTAGACAAGGTCAAACAAGTTATCACTTTTATTCCTTTAGTTCCCAAATTTTTGAGTAGGATATACGCACCCACTTTTCTAATATCACAGTCTATCAATGCGGAAATAACAGTGCAAAAAATACTGTCGTGTTCTCTTCACATTCTATTACTCTATTTTTTTTTTTTGATATGACTAGCTTTTAGTATGCTCTAACTTATTTAGGCCACATGCAATCATCGAATGTACATGCAAATCACTATATTTGAAACTCATAGGAATTCATCCATTCTTAGATAGCACAATGCCATATTTCTACAGTACCTTCCAGTTATATGTAATTACAGAAATCTTCTATTTTGTGCATTTTATATTGCAAGATGTGATGTCAGCAATACAACCAATGTAACAAAAATTACTTTCAATTAGGTAAATGTGCTTAAATGCAAATTAAAGCTGTATTCAAAACCAAATTATGCAAACTTTGTGCCATATTCAGAATACGATTTATTTAAAATTATCCATTATTCACAATAATATCATTAAGTAAATTTTAGAAGATTCGTAACACTAGAAACTATAGGGAAATATTGAGTAGTTAACCCAATGGTGATTTAACAATTGTTTGCTTTTTTCAGCTAATCGTATAAACAACCATTCATAATAAAAAAACGATATTGTGCTACTTAGCACTTTTAGCAGAAAATGTTTGCATAAATGCAAATTCATTAATTTTGCTTTGCATTCAGCATCATTACAGGTTCTGCTGTTGCATTAGTAGAATACTTCATGAAAATTAAATGTTTTATTTTAGTTCATATTTTTTTGCTATTCATTTTATTCATTCCCAACACTCGATTTTATCGGTAAATCTTGAATTCGTCTTGCTTTTTCCACACAAACTTCCCAGTATGATTTTTTGACGAGAAAAACTTTATTTGAACATTTTCCAATCATTATATAACTCATGGCATCAGGATTATTCAATTATTACAAATCATTCCCACCACACTGTAAAGTTACTAGTTTAAGCAACTTCTCAACTCAGAAACCATGAGTTAACTTTCTTCGCACTAGTGAATCTTGAATTCCTTTTCTTGTTCTTGTGTAACTTAGGTTTTTAGGTCATCCTATTCTGAAAAATGATAAAATATTGAACTGATGCTGCTGCAACAAGTTATCATTTATGACAATCAGTTCAATGCCTGATGGGTTATTATCTAAGCAAAAAAATACAAGAGGTTCTAGATTTTAGAATTTAAAGTTGTCGAAATTTCATCATCAGGAACATAAAATTAATATGCTTTTAAATTTTTTCAGAAAGGGAAATGAAATTGTGAAGTTTTTTTATTGCAAATATTGTTATAAACTTGTCAAAAAAAACTTGTGTATACCGCTGACATCATATATATCTAACGAAATCAAAAATTAAATTCACGAATTCCGTTCTAGCAAACAACATATTCACTGCAACCTGTATTTCCTTCACTCATTCTCATTTCTAAGTCATGATTTAAACAGAAGTAAGAGAACCATAGTTCGTATTATGTACTTTGGTTTCGAATAGCTATTAAGTGACAAATTAGAATAAGCTTGTATATATTATTAAACTTCAATAATTTGAAGGAAAAAAACTTTATGGAATAGCCAATAAAGTTAAAAAACGAGCTATTTAAAAATTTTACAGAAGTTCATTATTGAAATCCAAGTCTCAATTTTGTTTCTTCGAAAAAGCAACACTGGCGTTTTATGCAAATTTCCAACTGTTCATAGCAAAAAGCTTTGAATTTCTCAGCAGTATCTCTGATTCTCTCGAACATGCACAATGAGGAAAATGCAAATAAATCTTGCGCGATTGCCGTATATGAACTTTTCCATGCAATTCACAGCTCAATATTCCTCCTTCTGACAAATTCCATTTTTCTTTAGTTTCTTTTGAATATTATATTCGTTTCCACTACACTTTTCTCGGTCTATTGTTCAGAAGTGGATAAAATGTATTTTATTATAACAAAAGTTAAAAATTATGATACAATATTTATTTGAAATATATTGTGATACGTGTGGTAGTTCACATAATAAATTGATTTTACATAAGTATTAAACAGTAACAGACAGATTTTGCTGCCAAGAACTAAAATTTCAAGGCATGTTTAAATTCGCATCTCGATAGGACTATAATATGATATGCAAGCATTTGGAATTTGCTTCACGAATATTTCCGCAACCAGTTGGATGATTCACTGCTCAAGTTTTGCTTCTATCGCTTCCGTAGTGCGAATTTGGAATTTGTCCTGAGATGATAGAAATCAGGAGAAAAAAACGATTCATACAGGGCATCCAGAAAAGATGGAGATATTCTGAATCGGTAAAAATTCGGAATTGTAATCTACGACTAGTAAGCAGGGCCGCTGTTAACACAGTGGGAAGTTAAACAATGAAATAAACTGAATAAAAAGCAAGAAGTTTACAAGAAAGGGCTCTCGAGTTCCTTGATATATTACAACCATATTACATTAACATCTTTGACAAAATGTTTAATTCCTTCTGAGAATTGCAGAACCGAGATAAAAGAAATCTTGTTAAAAATTTTTTTTGTCAAAAAAATCAAAGGAATATAATTTTTAAAATTCATTATTTGCAAAATATCAAAATGAATACGCTTAAACTTGATACAGTTTTGAGCAACAATTATTAAAAATAATAATTCAGGAAAATCAACTAAATTTTCAAACCTTTCGATGTCCCTATTTTCATATAAACACACTGCGTATTAATCAAACTCTTAATATTGTAAAATTTCTTATAACTTCCTTTGAAATCATGAAATGAATTTAAGGTTTTATTCAAAATTTCAGTAGAAAATTAGTTTTTAGGATAAATTAACTGAGCAACTTGACACATCAAACTATCACATCCTCTGTAGGAACTCATAAAAAATGTTTTTTGCTTTGAAAAAATTTTGTAGTGCATTTTTGAATGACTAATAAAGCGTTTGTGTTATACTACTCACTTTTCTATTGTTCGATAGCATAAATCAAGAATACTGAACAGCTTGCAGAATTCAATAGATGTTCATCTATTTATTACAACATTATAACTGATGTTCACAGTGAAAACATCGAGAAAAATCAGAAGATTGATTTGCGTAATTTCAGGTGCAACTATGCCAGAGAAACTCATGATGATAATCCCCAAAGCGGAAGCATAGCATTGTTTAACTTATGTCGCGAATTTCGATTCGCGGAACTTCAACCATACAAATAAATAATCAAATAAATTTCTTATTGTAAACAAATGTTCCTAATATTATGACTCATTCAATTCTGCATTCCTTCAAATTATTTCCTATGACATTCTTGTTTTCAGCCAAATCCACATCTTTGTATTCACACATTTTGGTACGGTATTTCCTTTGTTAGCAATTACTCAAAATATCTGTCTCAGTTGCCCTCTTTGTTCAGACACGTATCTTTATCCAT